AGGCGGTTAAGAAATAGGAAGGAGCTGTGTTTCTTTTAACGGGTGCAGTGGGAAATGAGAAAATTGGAGTAAAATTAAGGTGCGCAATTTTTAAATCTCATTCATCTTCACTTTGTGGTCGCTTTTTGAAGGCGAACGAAATAAAATCATTTAGAGGATAAACTTAAATTCCACCCCATAAATTTTAGGCGTCATTCCAAACATTACTTTAAAATTAATCTTTTACTAAGTAAGGCTATATTTTGGTGCAACTTTACTCACAGATGTCAGATTTTTAACTAATTAACCAACTTTTAGATGAGACCAAGAGCAATTCCCTTACTTCTGCATCGTTGGCAAAAAGTTTTTTGCTCAATGAAAGCCTTTGTAGGGGCTACAAATTTTATGACTTTCATCCTTATTCGGCATCTCTCGAGTTATGCAGTTTAACTTAATAGTCACCACAAAAACAAACGGAAGGGCATCCTAACTTAACAAGCAAAAAAATTATGATTGGAGGAATTTCGAAGAAGGAAAAACTGACAACAAAATCAACCATTTTATCGTATCCCAAATCTGACGAAACCGGGGCCCTCAAGCCATAAATATATTGTCTTTGTTTTGGCAAGATTTACCTTAGGATTAGCTGAGGTGCTTTGTAATAGGCTTTGTGCGTTTATTAATCTTGCACCCTTTGTCGCTCTCCCCTCCACCTCTCCGCTCCCCTTCGTCTACCCAGAGGGTGGTAAGCCATCGGTGAGGCAAAGGTTTATGGCTTTGAAGAGACGCATTAATTCGTAAGCTTTACCACTTTACAAATGGTCCGCGCACACTTCCGACACCTCACCCCTGTAATAGATTACACAAAAAAAACATTAAAATTTTATGCTTGCCTTGCCTATTCAAATTGTTCTTTGGAAGCAGCATGTTGATGGGCCGAGACGTCACTAAATTTTTCACTGTACATCAAGGCGATTTGGCAGCGAAACCTCTTGCCATTGAAATTACAATCATGTAGGTGAATGGAAGCGGAGAGAGTTATGCGAGATTGTTGGAAAAAAGGCAAGGCTAGGCTGACCGCGGAGTGCGTTCAAGAAGGAAGGGGAGAGGAAGGGAAAGAAGTGGAGCGTTAGAGGCTTGATGTGTTTAAATTAGCCAAGGAAAGTATAAAGGTGGCTTAAGCGGTCAGTTTCTCCGTTTGTCGATTGTTGGGAGCTGATTTGCGGTGCAATCAAATCGTTGCAGGCTACGAAGATGCCTTTGATCGTTGACGGCAGTCACGGACTTTGATCTCACGAGGTAGCATAGAACGTGGTAATTTTGTTGGTTAAATTTCTTTACTACTATCTGGGAACGCGTTGAGGCTATTCAAACCGCAGTAGAAGAGCCAATAAAAGTACAATCAAGAAAGTGGTCAGTGCATTCAGTTTACATTGGGAACTGCACCGATTTTAACTCCATCTACATTTTTCTGTCCAAAAAATGTGACGGAACTGAAAGTAAACGCCGACGATCCATCAGCAAAGAACGTAAAACGGAAATAAGTTGAAGTGGATCCCCTTTAAGTATTTTAAAAATAGTCATTGGCCGTGTGGAGAATGGGCAATGGTCACAGTGAAGAAGCACTCTCTTCTACCCTACAAAACTTTAACAGAGTTCAATAATTTCACCTCACCTTTGACCTTCCCAATCGCAGGCCATCCAAACGAAAGAGGTTGAACAATGCTGGATGTTACAAGTCTCTATGATTCATAAAATTCATACTCATGTAAATTGCATTTTAATCATAGTCTAATCACTCAATTTGAACATAAAATTCGTACAGGTGAATGATAAAATCAGATGGGATGGAAAGTCACTTATCAGGAGTATTGTTCTCCTTCTCTTCTAGTGACAATAAGAATGGACTGGAAAATGGGATGGCACTGCTGATAACGCCTAGGAGGCAGTAGAATTTCTTTCTAAATCTAAATACTCATTCACTGACTTACATAAATGCAAACTTAAAAAGCTATTCCCTTCTCAGATCAGCCAACAACGTATTTGCTGATATGGTAGTCTCTTGACATCCATGAAGTCTTTCCAAACTGCATCATAATAGTGGGAAAAGCCCAGTTTTATGGCTATCGTGGTTGCTGGGATGTACCCCAAGGATGAAACATCAGTGTTTGCGAATTTTTGTCACTGTGTGAGCGCTATTGATCCCTGGGGAGGAAACGACCTCACAACCCATCTAACCTTATTTCCCTATTCACTGTTTGGGCACGTATGCATTAGAAGGCATCCTCCCCTTCCCATTTGCTCATTCCGAGTGTGTAAAAGCAGAAGGGAGGAGGGGAGGAGGTAAATGCTAACCTCGTCACCGTATATGCACGTATTCGGAAAACCTAATTAGAGTGCCATAAACTTTAGATCTGAGAATGGACACAGAGTGTTTTTACATTAAAGTCAATTTCAATGCAGTATAAACTGTGCAAAAAGGTCATAGCGTTATGAAATACTGTTATATGTCATGATACTGTATATTTTTTTCAAAAAAAGTAAAGTAGGCAAAGTGACAGCTGATTTTATCTTCCGCTTATGCGTGAATTAATAAAATGAGACACGTTGAATAAGACAGAAAAGTTCCCAAAAATATGTACATAACTCATGTATTGATAACGGGGGAACGCGAAAACTCTTGACGTTTCATCATGGTTTCCTTCAATTAGTGGATAAGGAAGTGGGAAAATTTTTTAATTTAGAACAGAATCATACCTAAAAACTGAGGAATACTTGGTTTCCGCCCTATCTGTCGAATGACAAGATTCAAAAAATACCACATGCTTTTCACATTACACTAAAGCAACCTTTGCCGTATCTGCCTTATTTGTTTTGATATTCCGTGTAGCTGTGCGGACTCCGAAATCTCCATTTGACGCGGGATCTTATTTCTTTCCAAATACTTTGTATATTCATCATTTTTCTTTGTTTAACTTTTTATAAATCAGCCAAGAGGGCTTTAAGTTCTTCCTGAGAGTTTAGATTTTATATTATAGAAACTGTTCAAACTCAGTGAAGAGGAATTAATAATTTGGATTATGAGACGCAACGCCGCCAAAGGTTCGAAAGTAGTCTAATCTTGATTAAAAGTATCTCACACAGCTCCAATATTCCAAAATAAAATACGCTGCCGTTATTTTTTCCTGAATAATAGGAAATTTCGCCGTGTAAGCTTGCTCAATTGGCCGCAGCACTACAAGCCAGACAAATTCAATGGAATACTTTTTGGGCAAAGTACATTACAAATTAAAATATCGAGGAGTCCTGATGACAGTTACTTATTTTCTGCTTCTTAGACGTCGCATGTGCCCAGCTTTGACCGCGTTTGTCAAGTGAATGTACTTGTGGAAATCTAACATGGAAATATGTGGAGGTACTATTATTTTTTTCGCCATCACGTGTAATGTATAAAATAACGCCTAGATAGGTTGTGCACCAGGCCACTAAAAAATTCGCCCTAGATTTCAAGAATAGCTTTAACTATATCAACTGACTAGCCCTCCTACACCACTATGCTTTGAGGAGCAAATGCCAAAGGCATTGTTCTACGATACCACCAGTCAAAAGTACTCTTGAGCGTTCTGCTCCCTCAGTCCTATGTCGAGTACTGTATGTCATTCGTTTGTTAAACTACAATCTACACAATCATTACTTGTGCTACCGATGCCTCTTCAACTGCTCACATCTCCTCTTCCTGATGCTTTACCGCGCCATATTATCAGTCGCCCAAATCCAACTACCTTCAAAAGGTAAGAGACCTGTTTGAATGTAAGCATAAATTTTCCCCAAATAAACTCATGAAAAGGACAAAATCGCCCCTATTTATATGCGATGCCACAAGAATTAATGACTGGCATAATAACCAGCGCTAGTGGTGTGCCCTGAGGCCGCTTTGAAGCAGTGGAGGAGAAATGGGGCGGTAAGATTTTGTCAAGACTCCGGTACAACGAGGAGAAGGAGAATAATTAAAAGACTACAGCTATCGCTTTACGAATTGAGCTAAAAATACTTTTAAATGGTTATTCTGTGTGGGCTTTACTTTCCCAGATGTTTCCAAAATGCCCGCTTGAATGAAGAAAAATGGTACACAAGGGTAGCGATCTACCACGTATACCCATGAACAGTATTGTCGGCAAAATAATTTCACCTCACCATTTTGTGGAAAGAGGAGAGGAAGAAGAAAAAGCGCACACCCCAATATCACTTATATTTGATAATATTTTCCATTATTACAGTAAGGAAAGGACCATTGAACCAGGTGAGAGATTAGAACAGCATAAATTTCCCTGAGCTTGACTGCAGTACCAGTTGCAAATACTGCTTCATTTCCAGGAAACTGGCACATAAATTCCTACAAACAGTTCTGACGCGGGAGTTCAATAGGAATCGGGACTATTAACTGCACGAGGTAGCGAAAGGTGACAGTGCAGGTGAAATAAAACCTCCCGGAGGATTAACATGGATACAACAATGCTAACGGTTGTAATTATTCCAGAGGACAGTACAAAGAAGGAACATTTGTGACATACAGGTCGCCTATCGAAGCTGACACTAGGCCAGTGTGTCCTGCTGCCCAGTGGATACTTGTAAATAAAAGAAATGAAAATATACCAAGGTCTACACCTCCCCACTCTCACCACTCCACCTTCATGCAACTACTTGCAAAGAGAACGATCAAACATAGAGGGTAGCACAGCTCCCTGTAGAGATCAAGGCCACCAAAACATACACAGGGAACTCCAAAAACACTGTCCATAAGAGGCTACACTGACTAAGCGCCTTGTAGTTGCAATTTGACAGTTAGCAAGCCCAGCTACTAGACACAGCGTCCTACCACTGTCCGATGCGGTGAAATAGTGCATGGTTGAGAACACATTTCAAGGTCTAGCTTTCCTGTGTAGTATTTAGGTAGGAAAAAAAAATAGACAGACGGGTATAAGGGAGGTATGGAGCTGAAGAAGGACTCAAAAAAAGCTACGTTATAAAGGTGCATCATAGGGTCCAGGACTATAACCACGAAACGCAAAGGAAGACCTTGTTTGGTTCGAAGGCGCCTCATTTTCCAGGTTTAAATTTGGATCCGAGGCATCCCAAAGCCGTGAATCAAGGTTCGGCTGCCAAATCGATGTTGTTGGTTGATGATCCAACAGGTAAGGTGCAGATGAGTAGGTATGAGGTTGGAAGGAAGGTGGATGCTGATTGAGTGGTTCGTAATCGGGAGGTATTGAAGGTCTTCTAGTCGGAGGTGGAGGTGGATGATTTGATGCTAGAGAGCTATAGTAGAAGACACGCTCATAGGCGTACTTTACACCAACCAGGAAGGCGAATTGAGTTGCATATTGGAGTAGGAGAGCACCAAATCCACGATAGAGACCAATGAAACCCGAGGCCGAGGAGGATGAGTATCGCAAAACATCAAACGCTCCATCAAAGGAGGTGATTATAGGGATGACTGAGTCACCAGTATCAAGATTATCCACCAGCGTTCTAGTGCCCTGAACACACAGTCGAACAGCAATGGTTTCGAGGGGATAAAGAATTGCTTCGGAGGTCAGAGAAGCAACAAAATGAGCAGTCAGATCATTGGTGAATAGAGAGTACGCGGCTCGGAGCACTGTCTCCCGTCGGTGTGATGTCAAGAGGGTTTGATCGTTCCCATCAATACCCCTCTGTAACGAGGACGGATTATCCTACAAGTAGGGGTAAGATGATAAGCATCAACTTGTAGCTACACCATCCCATCGTACTGACACGACACTTCCTTTGAAAAACTTGATAACTGTAAAAGTTTGAGATGACCTATGCGATTTATCGACTCCTTGAGGAGAAAATATCAAACCATTCACCCCTCCACTGATCTACTACCGCGTCTCAATGACCACTTTCCTTGCACACAGGGACAGAAGACCAATAAGTAACATTACTATGTTATCCTTGGACCCCTATAAAATGAAAAAAAAAACATTAGTGGTTGAAGCGCCGAAGCGAGGGAGTTACCTACTCCTGGTTAATGTATCAATTTGCCCCCTATCCACCAGGGACGGGAATAAATGCAACATGGGAATGGAAAAACACACTTTATCGGTTTGAAAGCGGTGTTGAGGCAATGACGGAGATCCAAAAATGTTCTCCAAGATGAGAAAAGAGGGACAACTACTACTACCGAGGCGAGAAAGAAAAAAACAAGGCGTTGCTACGTAAAGCACCGAAATTGGCGTTCAGTAGATTGCATGCATGTTTCCGGGACAAACAACAAGACAGGAGGACAGAAAAGTGGCAAGAAATTGGTATCGTATGAAGGTTTTTAGAGATTAAAAAAGATGATTTATACCGAAACACGCAAGATTTTACTAGGGTAGATTCAAGCTCTGTGCCCTGCCATGCAATTGCAGGCATTCGTCAGGGGGTGAATGGGGAAATCTTCTGTCCTCTCTGACTGAATGCGTGCCTCGGAGAACTGATTTCACAGACTACGAGAAGTCACTTCAACTGAAGCGCCTGCTAAACTTACCATCAGAATAATGCAGGTGAGCATTAAGAATATTCAGTGGTGTGAGAACCTGATAATGGAACTGTGAATGGTGAAGAAGGAATGATAGACAAGGATGGATGAACAACTTCCCGTTATCCATTCCCCTCCCATTGGTAGGCGCCTTCAAACTCCCCACAGATTTGTAATGAGTGAAGCAGAAGATCAACCATTAGAGACAATGGAGGGCTGCACTTACATCAAGGTGAATTGATCCATACGACTCGACTTCTAGGTTTATGGAATAGAACTACTCATCTCCCCTCCAATACCCCTTGTCATAACGTCAATCACCATTCATTGTAGGACTTCAGCAAATTCAGGCAACCTTTCGACCATGAGTAGAGTGCTAAATCAAGTCTAGCTTTTTGAATTGGCTCTGCAGATTGTACCTCCTTACGGTGGAACAGCCAGTGGGACTCAACGGCTTCACGTGATGATTATTTTCATGATCTCATCACCCTATTATGATCTTACAATCTGCGAGTGAAGACTCCGAGCTCCGCACTGGTGACTACGCAATGTCAATCAAAGTGTCTTATTTCAACTTTCACCAATGAATACTAAACCATGGCTTGATGAACAGAGGGGTTAAAAATGGCATCTACCTTCAGGAGATGAGGCCACGCTCACACATCGGTCCGCTCATTACAGTACTGAAGTAGGAAGCAAGAAGGGCAGACACAAAATGCCACTACCAACAAACAATGGACAGCGGTTATTGGCACCACAACCCCTTTCTCCAATACACCGTAGACAAACTGTCAAGAAAGTCCAGTGGCGACACAATCGGAGATTGTCTGACAGCTCCGACAACGTTGTAAGGCGGGTGGTCGATTAAGGGGAGCGCTGACCAGTCGATACCCAATGCCTTCCACACCTCGGTAGTACAATTCCAGCCTCAGCTTCCAGCTTCGAGGACTCTACGCATTCTTGCATTCAATTGGCAACCAAAGAACTTAATATTCCCTCCCCTCCCCAAGGCAAAAGAAAGAAAGCAGTTAACAAAAATTGTCCTACAAGGCTACACCACATTGTTAAAGTCCAAACCACGGTACAGGAACCAGACTGACCAATTAGCGTTCACTTCTTACTGATAAAAAAAAATTCAGAGAAAAAAAAACCAACAATAAAAGATCCTCATGATTACCCAATTTGACTAGGAAAAAAACTAAACTGAATTACTGAACTGATTACAGTTTGAAGGGTCAAATAGTTAAAGTAAATGAGACCGTTAACATCCTTTCTCCATTCACCAAGGCAAAAGTATTGTAAGGATAAAAGACTGGCAAATCACCTGAGGTTTTTTGCATCCCCGAATGCCTTCACCCAACAGCACCTCCACCTTGACTAAGTAGACAGATTTGGTGGAGCCGAAGGAGCGAGTAGTGGATCACAAAAGGATGAGAGGAAAGGGAGGACAATTGAAAAGTAATTCGCTCTGACAAATGTTTGTGTTGTGCTAAGAGTGCCTTTCCCACTGCCTGTCAGAGACCAAACTCGACAATTTTACCCACACTCTCCTCCCCTTTACGAGGAGCATAAGCTCAGCTTCAAATGGTCAGTGACGGGAGAAGTGTGGAAAAAAAGTGATGCAGAGAGCGCAAAAAAAGGAGGAGAGAGGGAGGGATGCAAACTTGTCTCCTCCTTCATGCGCCTGTACTGTGTACGTTCGTGGGATAAAAAGCCCTGTTAATTAAACATGTCAGGAAGAAAAATGTGTCGCCTCCGATTGGAGGTTGAGAGCCTCCTCCTACGGCATAACAAAGTAAGGTTAAATCTTTGGTAAATAATTTTTCACCCTTCAGCTACTCGATCTTTATACACATTTCAGACGCATGGAAGAAGTGATCACAGATCCCCTCGCAATGAGGTGTGTGGGGGAGTTTGAAGTTTCACTCGTACCGAGGCCTATGACATTGAAAGCCGCCTCCACTTCCATGTCAATTTCATTTATAAAATGGTCGTTTTAAATGCTACTGCATCGTGTCACGAAAAGATAATAACCTCTTGGAGGGAAACTGAAAGGGAAATTAGAAGGACGAAGTGTAAAACCGAATCACTTCCCTCAACTTCAAAGTGAAGTAGGAGCCTGCAGAGGCAGACGACGGCCAGAATGAATAGGGAACAAAACAAGGTCGCCGTCCTAATTATTCCGCCCTCAAGAAATGAGTATTTCTTACTAATTAATCTAATTTTTAATCCAAAACAATAAAAGGAAGTGAAATAGCGCCACTCATTGCCAGTCCATGCGGTGCCACAATGACCCTGGGAGGAAGACTACGACGTCCCACAGGACTCGTTGTTCTTACAATGCACAATAAATGAGGAAATGCCTTTGTTTCCTCCCAACTCACCTTATACTGAATAAACTCAACGGAAAAGCAACTCCTGTTTCAGTTTTTGACTTCCATAGCCGACAATGCAAAAGCCCATCCACCAAGGTCGACCAATGTTCATAACCCTGTTGGACAGGCACTATTCTAAGCTCTACAACATCTGTGCATAAGCAGTAGGGTAAAACAACTCAAATTCCGAGCAGATGCTATCGAAATAGCAATAAGAGAGAGAGAGAGGATACGTTGGGGTCAGAAGCCGAGACTCAAGATGAGACATGTAGCTGGGATGGATTTATTCAAATCCACCTCGATAGTAGCCTGAGTAGACGATTTGACACATTGAAAGGGGAGAAAAGGGAGAAACCAACTCCAGCATCTGGAATCATCCCCATGCCCCTCCTGTGACAACCAAAATAGAAGGACAAACACACGAAATCCTCATATATTTAATTGTATGCATCTTCCCAGTTCCCTCACTACCTCAGTCACTGCTTTTCTATACACAAGTCTAACACCTCCACTCAACTTGTTAGAAATATCAACAGTGCTTTTCTCCATCCTCAACAATGGAAGCTGCGTTCCTGTAGAGGCGAAAATTGGTTTATGAGTAAGTAACTTAGTTAACAATGTCTCCAAAGCAACTTTTGTTTCCAAATACACCTACTGCTTTCGCCTAAGTCGGAAGATGAAGCATTCAGGTGGGCGGACACGTCCATTGTTGTGCTACAATAAGCTATCCATGCCCATGGCATCTAGTTTCTCGTCCTTTACCAACATGAAGAAGTCTTGAACACAGAAACTCCTCTTTTTTGACAATATGCAAAGCCTTAAACAGCGCAGAAGGAAGGATAGCTAAACGAATGAAGGGGGATTCCCCTCCCCCCCCAAATTTGACCTCAAGGTCACCCAAGTGGCAAGGGTAGTGTTGAATGAGTAGAATTTCCTAACTTATCCGTCCGACAGTAGAAAGTGCTCACAAGAAAGGGACAAGTGAAATCAGGGAGGGTTTTACTTCACACATGCCTCACTTAACACGCAACAGTGGTGGCCAATAATAAATCTTGCATGCTACCTCCCAAGAATTGAGCTTTCTATTACCCCTTAGCGCTGTGGTATGTAAAAATAATACGTGTACGTTTGGACAACAAGGAAGTGATGAAGTCAATAGGCAGCAAAAGATTCCAGTTTACAAGGCAGCGAGATAGCGACGGAGGAGGGAGGGTGAGAGGCCACGCAACAAAGGAGTCACGTGGAGGATGCATTAGTTCGGCAGAGCCACCACAAAGGGGTGTGGGGAGGCGGGGAGGGAGGAGTGAGAAACTGTCTAGTCAAAACGGCCTTGTGGATGAGGCTAGACACGCAGAGACAGGATATGCGCTCATGTCAC